ACACAAGCAAATCAATCTGATATGAAATCTCTTATATTTTGTAAATAGAGTTAGATTTATTTTTACTTGCGCTACTTAGTTTGTTTTATTAGTTTTTTCTATCGTTTTTTTTTAAATGAATGATTAATAGGTATTGAACATAAAATTTAAATGTCAATATTTCGTCTTTTATCTGCAATACTTCATTTGGAAAATGTTGTTATTAATGATGAAGGTGAACATGAATCAACATTTATTAAAGAATCAGATAAATCATTTTTAATATTTTGGTCACTTGTTAAACTTGATGAAAATCGTATGAGAACATGGCTATGTAATAAAAGAATCAAAACAGGTGTTGAACTTGTTAATACAACACTTAACTTTAACCAGATTTGATTTTCGTATTGATTTATTTATTAAGAAAATAAATAATTCTAATAGGCTTTATTTACTCACGATGCTCTTGCAAAACATATTTATTCACAATTATTTCGATGATTTGTTGAGGAAATAAATAAATCATCAGAATATATTAGACAACAATCATTTATCGGTGTTCTTGATACTTATGAGTTCGTTAAATTATTTCATTGAAATTCTCGAATTTCTTTTATTTAGTTTTGAAACATTCAAAATGAATAATTTTGAACAATTTTGTCAAATAAATCTGATTTTATTTCGAAAAACAAACAAAAAAAATATTTGTTTAAATAGCATGTATTTACACTTGAACAAGAAGAATATATGACAGAAGAAATAACTTGGTCATTTATTCAATTTTATGATAATCAACCATGTATTGATTTAATTGAAAGTAGATTAGGAATATTAAATTTATTAGATGAAGAATGCAAAGTTTGTTTATTCTATTTGTTTTTTGTTTTTTTTATTTATAAATAAAATAAAATATTGTAGATGTCTAAAGGATTAGATGAAAATTGGCATAGAAAATTAGTTAGTCAATATGGAAAACATGCGGATTTTTCAACAAAACAAAAATATGCAGCTAATTCAACATTTATTATAAATCATTTTGCAGAAAAAGTTGAATATTGAATTGATGGTTTTCTTGAAAAAAATCGTGACACTGTACTTGAAGATCAATTTAAAATGTTAAAAGAGAGTGAAGTAATAGAATATTATGCTTTATTTTTTTATATTAAATTCTTTTCATTTCAGCTTGAAATTGTTGTTCAACTATTTCTGGAAGAAGATAATACAACAAATGGTTCGAAAACATTAACATCAAATAAATCTTATCAAGTACAAAAAACAGAAACATTACAAAGTTCATCGAAAGTTCAAGCACAAAGAAAGAAAACTGTTGGATTTCAAGTAAGTTTTTACAAATAGGCATATTATTTCAATCAAAATTCATGTTTTCAGCGTCTTTCACTTGGTTCATAGGTCGGTTTTTTACACATGATGTTTTTTTTAATTAACTGTGGATCCAAACACACCTTAATCTATTTTGCACTACATGGATATATTTTGTTCGGTTTCAAACACAGGATTGATTTTTATTTCTTTGTTTGAAATGTTTCTTTTACTGAGATTTGAGTAAATGAAAACTTCTTTCTAACTTGTCTTTTGTTTTCGTTTGTATAACTGAATTGTTTGAAAATTTCTAAAAATATCTGATGAAATAAAATTCGTGTTTTTTTTTATTAGTTCCGTGAATCATTAACAAGTTTAACGGCAGCATTAAATCTCACTGAACCTCATTATGTTTGTTGTATAAAACGTAATGATGAAAAAGCTCCATTTACGTAAGTTTCTTAATTAATTCGTAATTTAATCTATATAATGAAATAAAATTAAAGATTTGAATCTCGTCATGCAGTCCAACAATTATGTGGATGTGATGTTTTAGTAACAGTTCGTATAAGTGCAGCTGGTTATCCATCTCGTTGAACTTATCATGATTTTTTTGTTTGTTATCGTTTATTAATTCGTTCATCATTAATTGATCGTATAAATTATCGTCGAACATGTGAAAATATTCTTAAAAATGTAATAATTGATCGAGATAAATATGAATTTAGAAATATAAAAATATTTTTTCGTGCTGGACAAGTTGCTTATTTAGAAAAATTACGTTCCGAAAAACTTCGTGCTTGTATTATTAAAATTCAAACAACATATCGTGTTTATTATGCTCGTAAACGTTATCTTAAAATTCGACGTACGACAATTGCACTTCAAATATTATCTCGAAGATATTTAGCAAGAAAATATGCTCAACAAATTCGTCTTACACGTGCTGTTACTTTATTTCAATCCTTATGACGTATGCAATTGGCTTATAATAGTTTTCAAACACTTCGTGTTATTTTAATTGATATTCAATCATATTGTCGCGGTTATTTAGTTCGACAAAATCTTCAACAAATAAAATTATTTCATTACAACATAAAATTGATGAACAAAAAAAAAAGATAATGAACGCTTAATTATTAAAGAACAAGAATTTGAAAATTTGAAAAAAGAATTTGATCAATTAAAAATTAATAATAAAGAATTCAAACAAAATTAAAAAAAACAATCAACTTTAGAAGAAGAACTTCAACAGCAAGATAATCAAATTTTTTATTTGAAATTTTCTAAGATTTTTTCTAATAGACTTTGAACAGAAATCAGATAATGTAACAATTAGTTCTGATTTAATTCAAACAAAACAATTAAAAGATGAAATTATTTTGAAAAAATAATGAATTGTTACACAATTACAAAATGAACTTGAAAGTAAAACAAAAGAAATTAAAAAATTAGAAGAACAATTACTTGGAGATTTATTTTTAACACAAGATTTATCTTTAACACATGTTAAACAGCTTGAAGAAGAATTAAATATTGAAAGATAACAAAGACAAAGACTTGTTATTGAAATGCATAGATTAGAACAAATATGTGAAAATCTTCAAAGTAAATTACAAAATGGAAATCTTAATAAAGCGAAACCAGCACCATCTGATTCAAATATGACTTGGGATTGAAAATTTATGGATACACTTGATCTTGATGATTTACCTGTAAATATTACAATTTTAATCATTCGAAATTCATACTTTTCGGGAGAAAGAGTTTAACGGTTGGCGAGGAGGGGAGCACTACCTGCCGCTTTCCTTACTTTTAATAGGAATAGAGCAT